GGTCGGGGTGGGGGCGTGGGGAAGCCGCCCCATGGCGCAGCCAGCCAGAGGGAGGCTCTCACAGGGCCAGCAGACAGCCAGAGCCATGCGCTGCTCCACTCTCACCCTCCTCTTCCTCCTCACGCAGGTAGGGGGTCCCTCACCCCTAGGGACTGGGGGGGGGCCCCCACACCGGGGGGGGGGGGGGGGGGGGGGGGGACGGGGGGGGGGGGGGAAGGGGAGTGTGGACGGCAGAGCAGGCAGTGTCCAGACTCCAGGGGGAGCGCATGGGTCCCAGAGCGGGCAGGGGGAGCACAAGCCCTGGCAGGGCAGGCAGATTTGGGAGGGAGGTAGAGCCTGCAGGCCATGGGGGGCATGGGATGGGGTGGACTGGGGAGCACGGGCCCTGGGGGACGGAGACAGTTTTGGGAGGCGGGTAGAGCCTGAGGGCCCTGGGGGGTGTGGGATGGGGCAGGCTCACTGGCGGGGGATGGGGAAGAGGAGCAAACATTGGCAGGGCAGGGGGCAGGGTGTGGGCTCAAGGGAAGGTGTCACAGCCCTGGGGGTCCGTCCCTCTGCCCACGGCGGCCCGACGGGGGCTGCAGCCTGTGCTCTCAGAGAAGCTGCCCATGCCCATCCTGAGCCCCACCTGTCCTGGAAGGGGAGGGAGCATTGGTACCCGGGGTCAGTTGCTTTGGAAGAGGCCTGTCCTGGCCCCTGGGTGCCATCGTGGTGGGCTGGGTGCTGCTGCCCACGGTCCTGGGCAGTGGACGGCCACGGGTGTGTGTATGTGTGTTGGGAACCTGCACTGAATGGGCTGCTGCTGACGGCTACAGCCCTGCACTCCCTGCTGCCATCCGGAGCAGCCTGTGCCGGGGGCTGGACATTGCCCTGGCCTCGGTGCACGCCCTGCCCTGGCTCCCGTGGTGTGCCAGGGGTGTCTGGTTCCAGGACAGGGCTCTGAGCCCCCTCCCCCCAGGGCACTCCGGCCCCTCTCACGTCGGATCCTGGGCTTTCCGGCCAGTTTCCAGGAGCTGCGAAGGAGAAAGCAGCCGCCAAGGGAGCATAGGCTGTGGTGAGCCCCACAGGGAGCCTGCCACCCCCAGCCCTGCAGAGCAGCCCTAGGGACACTAACCAGCATCTCCCTGCCACTCAGGCTGGCCCCAGCAGCAGGATGCACCAGCTAGAGCCCTGTGCTAGCTCCAGCAGCCCTGATGGGGCATTTCCATGTCTGGTCCCAGGTCGGCATCAGGAATGAACACCCTGCAACCCCCACAGACACCTAGCAACAGTCACCAGGGCAGCACCACTTCCCAGGCAACAGGCAGAACTCACCTCCTCCTTTGGCTATTTGGGGTTCCCAATGTCTCCCTTCCTAGCAGCTGTCTCTGCCCCTGCAGGACTTCTGCCCCTGCCTTCAGGCAGCTGGGCTGATGGTCCCAAAGGCCAGCCCTGGCAAGAAGAGGCAGAAGAGAGACTGGGTCATCCCTCCAATCAACTGCCCTGAGAATGAGAGGGGGCCCTTCCCCAAGCAGCTGGTTCAGGTATGGGAGGCCTTTGGCAGTGTGGGGGGTGGCAGCCCGGCACTAGCTGCCAGGCACGGTGTGTATGGATGTGTGGGGAGCTGTGGGGAATTTATACTGCCAAGTGCAGCTCCATTGCATAATGTGTTATGCATTGCATAATGTGTTATGCAATTCACCAGCATACTACTTTGCATACTATCAAATATTTTGCATATATTATAAACAGCACCTTTAGCAGAATTGTGTGCTGATGGCAAAGGCGTCCGCCCATTTGACTGCTCTGGTGTAAGATGCCCTGGTTCTCCTGCAGGGTGGCCGCAAGGAGCGTCCCCTCCCCACATTAACCTGCTGACCTGCCTCACCCTAATTTATTTAGGGGGGGGCTTCTTCTGGGGCAATTAGGTAGGGCCTCATTGAGGGTTTGGGATGGCAACCCTCATTCTCCCCCCCTCCCTTTTCAGATCCTGCCCTTTCTTAGTCTCCTATTCATCCCCCACCAGTCCTTACTATCCCCTGCCTATGTGGCTCAGGCCCTGTGTACAATAGTGGTCTCTGGTACCCTCAACTCAGCTAAAGGTGGGAGATCCCAGCAGGGGGGTGGGTTGGTGCCGCAGGGCTGGCATGGGTGTCCCACATGATGCTGGTGCTGCTTGGTGAAAAAGGGGCAGCGTCCAGGAATCTACACGGGGCAGAAGATTTGAGAGGGGAGGGACTTGGGGGGAAGTGAGGCAGTGAGGAGCAGCCTGGATGTGAGCAGTTCCTTGCAGGTTCTGGACAGACGGGGAGGGGAGCACAGGCTAGGGCAGGCCCGGTGCTGAGAATCCACCGGCTGACCCTCCCGTTCTCCGGCACCAGATCAAATCCAACAGGGACAAAGAGACCAAGGTTTTCTACAGCATCACGGGGCAGGGCGCAGACACCCCCCCTGTGGGTGTCTTCATCATCGAAAGGGAGACGGGGTGGCTGAAGGTGACGAAGCCACTGGACAGAGAGGACATCAGCCACTACACGGTGAGTCCCTGGGTGCCGTGGATGGAGCAGGGGCATGTTCTCAGGGGCTGATGGCCCCTGGAGCTTGGAGGTGGCTGGGAAGGGGCCAGAGGCTCCAGTGAACTGGGTCTCACTCCATTTCTTGTACCGCACGGTCCAGAGGGCAGCTGCCCTCTCCTCCCTCTCACGGTCTCTTCCCCGGGCCCGGCAGAGTAAAGCCAGAGAGGAGGTGCTGACCCCAGCTGGGCGCCGCCTCCTGCTCTGTGCCCAGCCCTGGTCACTTGGTCACGTCAGCACTTGGCCCTGAGGCCCGGTTCTTTCCCCGAGGTGCTGAGAGCTGCAGCGGGAGCTGAGGGGCCCCAGCACCGGTGAGAATCGGGCCTAGAGCGTGCTGACAGCCCAGCACTGGCTCGCTGCCTCAGCCAGGCCCCTGCTACTTGGGCCTGGTCTACACTAGGACTTTAATTCGGATTTAGCTGCCTTAATCCGAATTAACCCTTCACCCGTCCACACTACAGAGCCAGTTAATTCGAATTAAAGGGCCCTTTAAATCGATTTCTGTACTCCACCTCGACGAACGGAGTAGAGCCTAAATCGATTTTGTTAATTCGAATTAGGGTTAGTGTGGACGCACACCACCGAATTACTGTGTTTAAGTTAATGGGGTAGTGTGGCCGCACACCACCGAATTAATGTGGTTTAAAACCGAATTAAGGTGCTTAGTGTGGCCGC